GAGCGGTACCTATTGATCTACTCACATTTGCATGTTTTCAAACTGCTAGGTTGGCAGAAGCTGGGGCTGACAGCGGAAGCTCACGCCACTCCCTGAATTCGAACCTGTGACCTTTCGGTCAACAAGGTCAGCAGCTCAGCACTTTAACCCACTGCGCCACCGGGGGCTCATCATTATCGTTATGAACCAATAAATGATGGTGGTGAGGATGATTGCAATACGAGGTGGAAGGCATCTCTCTTCTCACCCCCCTAAGGGCAAGGCAATTCCTTTCAGATTAATCACCTAAACAGAGGATAGAAAGGTTCCTCCAGAAAAGAGAACAAAAAAGGATGAGAATTTGCATAAAAAGGAAACATGCTGATCCATATGCATAGAGGCCAATTTAGAATTACTATCCAGAATCCTTATGATGAATCATTCAAGTATAAATGGAAGTTATGCCAGCACATTGGCTTTATCTAATATTATGTAAGGAGGTATTCGGGAAGGCATTATTACTCAAGGAGGTATCCAATGTTATTACATGAGAGGTTATCCATTATTATATAAGGAAGTAACCAATATTATGTAAGAAGGTATTCAATATTATGGAAGGAGGTATTCAAATCTAATATTGCGTAAGTATCCAATATTACATAAGGATCTATCCAATATTAAATCTTCCAGAACTATGGAAGAGGGACTCTAATATTATGTAAGTATCCAATATTACATAAGGAGGTATCCAAATTACATTCAATATTACGTAAGGAGATATTCAGTACTGTGGAAGAGGGAATCTAATACTATGTAAGGTTTTTTTTTCTTGGAAGATGCCTGTGCGTGTGTTTCTTTAATGTGTGGAGGCTGGTGCACAGCTGATCAACACACAGTCTTCACAGAGTGAGGTCCTATCCAATATTATGTAAGGAGGTATCCAAAATTACATAAAGATGCATCCAATGTTACCCAAGGAGGCATCCAATATTACCTAAGGAGGTATTCAATATTACCTAAGGAGGTATTCAATACTATGGAAAAGGGAATCTAATATTATGTAAGTATCCAATATTACATAACGAAGTATCCAATATTGCAAAAGGGTGCATCCAATATTACCTAAAGAGATATCCAATATTAACTAGGGAGGTATTAACTACCATGGAAGAGGGAATCTAATATTACGTAAGTATCCAATATTAGGTAAGGGGGTATCCAATATTCCATAAGGATGTATTCAATATTACCTAAGGAGGGATCCAATATTACCTAAAGTGGTATTCAATATTACATAGGGAGGTATTCAGTACTATGGAAGAGGGAATCTAATATTACATAAGTAACCAATATTACGTAAGGGGGTATCCAATATTCCATAATGATGTATCCAATATTACCCAAGGAGGTATCCGATATTACCCAAGGAGGTATCCAATATTACCTAAAGTGGAATTCAATATTACGTAGGGAGGTATTCAGTACTATGGAAGAGGGAATCTAATATTACATAAGTAACCAATATTACTTAAGGGGGTATCCAATATTCCATAAGGATGTATCCAATATTACCTAAGGAGGTATCCAATATTACCTAAAGAGGTATTCAATATTATGTAAGGAGGTTATCAGTACTATGGAAGAGGGCATCTAATATTATGTAAGTATCCAACATTACCTAAGGAGGTATCCAATATTACCTAAAGTGGTATTCAATATTACGTAGGGAGGTATTCATACTATGGAAGAGGGAATCTAATATTACGTAAGTATCCAATATTACGTAAGGGGGTATCCAATATTCCATAATGATGTATCCAATATTACCCAAGGAGGTATTCAATATTACCTAAAGTGGAATTCAATATTACATAGGGAGGTATTCAGTACTATGGAAGAGGGAATCTAATATTACATAAGTAACCAGTATTACTTAAGGGGGTATCCAATATTCCATAAGGATGTATCCGATATTACCTAAGGAGGTATCCAATATTACCTAAAGAGGTATTCAATATTCTGTAAGGAGGTGTTCAGTACTATGGAAGAGGGCATCTAATATTATGTAAGTATCCAACATTACCTAAGGAGGTATCCAATATTACCTAAAGTGGTATTCAATATTACGTAGAGAGGTATTCATACTATGGAAGAGGGAATCTAATATTACGTAAGTAACCAATATTATGTAAGGGGGGTATCCAATATTCCATAAGGGTGTATCCAATATTACCTAAGGAGGTATCCGATATTACCTAAATTGGTATTCAATATTACGTAGGGAGGTATTCAGTAATATGGAAGAGGGAATCTAATATTACGTAAGTAACCAATATTACGTAATGGGGTATCCAATATTCCATAAGGATGTATCCAACATTACCTAAGGAGGTATCCAATATTACCTAAAGAGGTATTCAATGTTACGTAAGAAGGTGTTCAGTACTATGGAAGAGGGAATCTAATATTACGTAAGTATCCAACATTACCTAAGGAGGTATCCAATATTACCTAAGGGGGGGGGGGGCTCCAATATTATTATGTAAGGAGTTACCCAATAATAATAGTAATAATAATAATAATAATAATTCTATTTTATTTCTTACCCACCTCTCCTCATGGCTCGATGTGGGTTACATTAGTAAAGGTATCCAATATTACATAAGGAGGTGTATCTCCTCACACAAAATAATTTTTCTTAGCAGAACAATGTATGATGCTCTTGGACACTGTCTGCTCTCCAATTCAAACAGCCGTAGATTGGCCATGACAGTGCAAAGGGAGAGGATCTACAAATTGTCACCATGTTGGCCAAGTTGGTCCTTTATTTAAATGTGTTCGTGAAACTCTACTAGTTTTAAACAATATATCAGGCCTGAATATACTAAAGGGACCTCTGGTCCCATTTGATTTTGGAATATAAGCATGGTCAGTTCTGGTGGGCCCAATAAATGCAAGGCTTTGTAGAGTATATCTCAGAGGAAGAAACTCTCAAACCGTCCTCTATTCTTTGCCCAAGGAAGACCATAGGTAATGCACATCGTTGCCATATAGTGACAGGCCACTTGAAGGCACCCATACACATAAGCTAGAAATTTTCTATATCCTCCAGGCAATTCTATGGTATCTTTCCACCAGAAGTTAACAGGGAGTGTGGTTTGTCAATCCAGGTTCAACTACAGCACTAAACACTTTCGAATATAATACCTCTTTTTTTTCTTTACATGGAATAAATCCACAATAACTTAATTTCACTTTGGAAAAGAGGGAAGAAATGGATACAGTACTAAGATACAGGTAGGAGAAAAAAAAGAGGTTTCGGAATAACAACCCCAAAATCTCAGAATTTTGTTGTGATCCAGAGCCATTTTCCGCTTGTCCCTGCTTTGAATTTTTATCTCTTAATTAGAAAACAGAAGCAGACAGAAGGCAATTTTCCAGCTGATTCACCACAATTAGAATAATATTTTACCACTTGTGCTTTGGGCGAAAATCTAAGAGCCACCTGGACAAAGCAAATAACAAGATATGGATATAGTCGGGCAATTCGGAAAGGAAAACAAATCTCTCCCTGTAGATTCCCCGTGTGTGTGTGTGTGTATAAGCAAGGACAAGGCTTAACTGGTATTAGTGATGGTGAGTGGTGCTTATTCATTAAACATTGAAACATGCCCTTCATTCTTACATATACAACTTGTTCTTAATTGCCATCAAGTCAACCTTGACCTATAGTGACCCAAAGAATGACAGATCCTTGAGAATGCATCTACTCTATATAATTAATGCAGTTTGACACCACTTCGACTGGCCAATGCTATGGAAACCTGGAAGCTGTCGTTTTATGAGTTGTTTGCCCTTCTTTAACAAGGAGTGCTGGTGTCTCACCAAATTACAACTTCAAGGTCTATTTTTAACTATATATTCTTGACTTGTTAAACTAGATCAGTGTTTCTCAACCTGGGGGTTGGGACCCCTGGGGGGGGGGTTGCGAGAGGGTGTCAGAGGGGTCGCCAAAGACCATCAGAAAACACAGTATTTTCTGTTGATCATGGGGGTTTTGTGTGGGAAGTTTGGCCCACTTCTATTGTTGGTGGAGTTCAGAATGCTCTGGGGAACTATAAATCCCAGCAACTACAACTCCCAAATGTCAAGGCTTATTTTCCCCAAACTCCACCAGTGTTCACATTGGGGCATATTTGTATTTGTGCCAAGTTTGGTCCAGATCCATCACTGTTTGAGTCCACAGTGCTCTCTGGTTGTAGGTGAACTACAACTCCAAAACTCAAGGTCAATGCTCACCAAACCCTTCCAGTATTTTTTGTTGGTCATGGGAGTTCTGTGTGGGAAGTTTGGTTCAATTCCATCACTGGTGGCAGAATGCTCTTTGATTGTAGGTGAACTATAAATCCCAAATGACAAAATCAATCCCCTCCAACCCCACCAGTGTTCAAATTTGGGCATATTGGGTATTTGTGCCAAATTTGGTCCAGTGAATGAGAATACATCCTGCCTATCAGATATTTACATTACGATTCACAACAGTAGCAAAATTAGTTATGAAGTAGCAACAAAAATAATTTTATAGTTGGGGCTCACCACAACATGAGGAACTGTATTAAGGGGTCACAACATTAGGAAGGTTGAGAAACACTGGACTAGATGGTCCTTTCCAACTCTAAGTGTGCATCTACAGTGTAGAATTAATGCAGCTTGGTGCTACTTTAACTGCTCTGGTTCAATGCTATGAGCTACTGGGAGTTTTAGTTTCACAAAGTCTTCAGCCTTCTCTGCCAAAAGTGCTGATGCCTCACCAAATGACAACTCCAAAGGTTCCTTAGTATTGAGGCAAAGCAGTGAAAGCGGTCCCAGAATAGAATTAATTGTACAGTGTAGATGTACTCTTAGATTCTGTGATTCTATAATGTTTTGATACGCTATTCCATAACCAAGCCATAAAAAACGAGGATGTTTTTAAGCATTAGAGGTAAGCAGACCAAAGCAAAATGTGTTTTTATGGCTACCTTGGGGCGTTTCCATTCTATCCTCTCTGGTGGTGGAGTACTGTAGAAGATGGATTCATCCGACGCTGGAAATTCAGGGTCTTCAAAGAGCCTCCCTTCTTTGAGGCACTGCTGCTTCAGTTCCTGATAATTTTGATTCCTGAAGGCTTTCGTTGGAGCTGTCGAACACATGGTGCTCTGTCTAAAGGGGAAAAAAAGACTCAGTGTTTTGTGGAAGCACTGGATCTCAAGTGATCTAGTGAACACAAAAATAGGACAGAGAAAAAGGGCTCCATAGTAGTAAAGAGTCTAAATATTTCTCTATTTCCCCAATGGCTTCCCTCTGATTTAACATTGCTATTTGGATAGGGTTAGGGAATGCATCCACACTGAGAAATCAGTGCAGTTTGATCTCACTTTGACTGTCATGGCTCAATACTATTAGAATCCTGGAGTTTGTCATTTGGTCAGGCACTAGAAGAACCAAGATCACAAGAAATGACAAGTCCCAGGATTCTTTAGCATCGACCCATGGCAATTCAAATGATGTCAAACTGCATTCATACTACAATACAGATGCATCCAGGTCTATCTATGAGTTGGGTAAATTTGTAGCTTCGCTGTCCCAAAACCTATATTTATCTGCAGACCGGAAGAATAAAGATTTCCTGAGTACCTCACCAAACTCTTCTTGCTCAAGAGTCTTGAGAGGATACTGCAGATATGGGCAAACCCAAGCACGGGGGTCGGATGTGGCCCTTGGGCTCTTTTCTCAGGCCTTCCTCTCACCATTCTATCCTTCCTTCCTTCTCTCTTTCTTTCCTCCTTTCCTCCCTCCCTTCTCTCCCTCCCTCCCTCCTTCCTTCTCTTCAACCCTTTCATCCTTCCTTCCCTCTTTCCTCACTTCTTCCCTCTCTCTTTCTCCTTCCTTCTTTCCTTCCTTCCCTTTTGTTCTTCCTTCCTTCCCTCTTTCTCCTTCCTTCCACCTTTCCTTCTCTTTTGTCTTTCCTTCCTTCTCTGTTTCCTCCCTCCCTCTTTCTCCCTCCCTCCATTCCCTTCCACCCTTTCATCCTTCCTTCCTTCTCTCTTTCCTTCCTCCTTCCCTTCCTTCCATCCATCCTTCTTCCTCTCTTCCTCCCTTTCTTCCTAATCTTTTTCCTTCCTTCCTTCCCTTCTTCCTTCCCTTTTGTCTTTCCTTCCTTCTCTCTTTCCTCTCTCCCTCTTTCTCCCTCCCTTCCAACCTTTCATCCTTCCTTCCTTCTCTTTCTTTCCTCCTTCCCTTCCTTCTATCTTTCTCTTCCTTCCTTCCCTTTTTCCTTCCCTCTTTCTTCTTCCTTCCCTTCTTCCTTCCCCTTTGTCTTTCCTCCCTTCTCTTTCCTTCATCCCTTGCTTCCCTTCCTCCCTCTTTCTCCCTACCTCCATTCCCTTCCACCCTTTCATCCTTCCTTCTGTTTCATCTTTCCTTCCTTCTCTCTTTCCACCATCCCTCCCTCTTTCTCCCTCCCTGCATTCCCCTCCACCCTTTCATCCTTCCTTCCTTCCTTCCTTCCTTCCTTCCTTCCTTCCTTCCTTCCTTCCTTCCTTCCTTCCTTCCTCCTTCTCTTCCTCCCTTTCTTCCTTCTCTTTCTCATTCCCTCTTTCTCAATCCTTCCTTCCCTTCTTCCTTCCCTTTTGTCTTTTCTTCCTTCTCTCTTTCCTCCATCCCTTCCTTCCCTTTCTCCCTCTTTCTCCCTTCCATCATTCCCTTCCACCCTTTCATCCTTCCTTCTGTTTTGTCTTTCCTTCTCTCTTTCCTCCCTCCTTTCCTCCCTCCCTCCCTCTTTCTCCTTCCGTCCTTTCCTTCCACCCTTTGTCCTTCCTTCCTTCTCTCTTTCCTTCCTCCTTCCCTTCCTTCTTCCTTCCATCACCTGGCAGCCAGTGCTCTTAGCAGGGAGTACTAGCATGCAGCTTCCAAGGTAGAAAGTTTGCCCATGCCTGGGATAAAGGCAGGGAGACTCAGGTGCTTTGCATCTTCAAACAGAGAAGCAAACTTCCCTGCTTTCCTTTTGCGAAGTTTCGCGCTCCAAAACGTCTGCTCCCATTCAGTCCGGGCATCTGAGACGAATCATGAACATGCCTACAATCTGTTCGTGTTTAACATCATTGCGATACATTTTCCGATTGTGCAATAACCAGTAAACTGCATGAAATTGTTGACAGAACAATCTGCTTTGTGCTTGAAGCTTTGCCTGGAAAACTCTGTACACAATTTTTAACAAGGATGGGATTTTTTTTTTCATCATCAAACCAGACTCCAGGAGGTAACTGGCTTGCTCTGAATGGTTTTCCATGGACAATACATTTTTCCCCCAGGAAGATCTTATTTTCCATATTGGTGGTTCAAGATGAAGGGAGATGACTCTTTGAGAATGACAGTGAGCAAGAAATTCCTCTAAAACTAAACTAGGGACGATGATATATGACAGCAGTAGACATCCGGATCCACTCTGCTGGTAAGTAAAGATAGACTACATGGCAGGGAGGTCATTTATTGATCTGCTTACGTAGTTCACAATCTGCCTTTCTTCCAAAATGGTTCACTAGGGGAAACTTTTATTACGTTTGTATCTTTTATTTGCTCATTAAAAAGACTGGGAAGAGTCATAGTTGAAGACAGTGTACAAACATAGTCATCAATGTCTGTGTATTTATGATGCCTGTCAATCCATGGCGAGCCCATGACTTTAATAGGTTTTTCTTCAACAAGGAATACTCTGAGATGTATTGTTGAAGGCTTTCATGGCTGGGTTTTTGTAGGGTTTTTTTTGGGCTATATGGCCATGTTTTAGAGGCATTCTCTCCTGACGTTTTGCCTGCATCTATGGTAAGCATCCTCAGAGGTTGTGAGGTCCTCTAGAAGCATTCTCTCCTGATGTTTCACCTGCATCTATGGCAAGCATCCTCAGAGGTTGTGACCTCACAACCTCTGAGGATTTTTGACATAGATGGAGGCAAAACATCAGGAGAGAATGCCTCTAGAACATGGCCTGCAAAAACCTACAAAAATCCTATACTTTGAGATGTTTTTCTAGGTCATCCCTTTGAAATAGAGCCTACGGCAACTGGGATGTCATTTGTGGTCTCCCATCCAATTATTAACCAGGGCTGATGCTGCTTAGTTTCCAGTATTAAATGGGATCTGGTGCCTTTAGTGCAGGCATGGGAAAACTTCGGCCCTTCAGGTGTTTTGGACTCCAACTCCCAGAATTCCTAACAGCCTACTGGCTGTTAGGAATTCTGGGAGTTGCAGTCCAAAACACCTGGAGGGCCAATGTTTTCCCATGGCTGCTTTAGCGTATTTTAACACTATTTTAAAAATCATCAAAATCAATGAAGCAGCACATATGAAAAGGTTGCCATGAAACCCAGTGTGTGATTGATAATTTTTTTTGAGGTTCCAAAGATATATTGCTGTCTGCAAAGGTCAGTTTCCCAAAGCGATGCAGAGCCTTCCACTAATAGTGGGTTACTGTTTCTATTTCTGCCCGGAGTAAATATATGCACACACTCTTCCTTTGGCTGTCAGGCAATTTAACTCCAGAAGGCAAAGGTTGGGATTTTGCAATGTGCCTTTATCATTCCTTGGTGCTACAAGTTAGTTGTACTTCTCGATAAACAGTTTGTTATCGGTAGTTAGTGACCTAAATCGTCTTACTACAAGTCAGAAGCAACTGCAGTTGGGTTGCACCTACACTGTAGGAATAATGCAGTTTGACAACACTTGAACTGGCATGACTCAGTACTATGGAATCTTGAAAATTATCATTTTTGGCAGAGAATGGTACATAAAGTGTTTCTCAACCTGGGGGTCAGGACCCTGGGTGGGGAAGGGGGTTGCGAGGTGGCGTCAGAGGGTTCAGCAAAGACCATCAGAAAACGCAGTATTTTCTGTTGGTCATGGGATTTCTGTGTGGGAAGTTTGGCTCAATTCGGAATGCTCTTTGATTGTAGGTGAACTATAAATCCCAGAAACGACAACTCCCAAAGGCTAAGTCTATTTTCCTCAAATTCCACCAGTGTTCACATTTGGGCATATTGAGTATTCGTGCCAAGTTTGGTCCCGATCCATCATTGTTTGAGTCCACAGTGCTCTCTGGATGTAGGTGAACTACAATTCCAAAACTCAAGGTCAATGCCCACCAAACCCTTCCAGTACTTTTTCTGTTGGTCGTGGGAGTTCTGTGTGGGAAGTCTGGCCCAATTCTATCATTGGTGGCGTTCAGAATGCTCTTTGATTGTAGGTGAACTGTAAATCCCAGCAACTACAACTCCCAAATGTCAAGGTCTATTTTCCCCCAAATTCCACCAGTGTTCACATTTGGGCACATTGAGTATTCGTGCCAAGTTTGGTCCCGATCCATCATTGTTTGAGTCCACAGTGCTCTCTGGATGTAGGTAAACTACAACTCCAAAACTCAAGGTCAATGCCCACCAAACCCTTCCAATACTTTTTTGTTGGTCATGGGAGTTCTGTGTGGGAAGATTGGCCCAATTCTATCATTGGTGGGGTTCAGAATGCTCTTTGATTGTAGGTGAACTGTAAATCCCAGCAACTACAACTCCCAAACGTCAAGGTCTATTTTCCCCAAATTCCACTAGTGTTCGCATTTGGGCATATTGAGTATTCATGCCAAGTTTGGTCCAGACCGATCATTGTTTGAGTCCACAATGCTCTCTGGATATAGGTGAACTACAACTCCAAAACTCAAGTTCAGTGCCCACCAAACTCTTCCAGTATTTTCTCTTGGTCATGGGACTTCTGTGTGCCAAGTTTGGTTCAATTCCATCGTTGGTGGAGTTCCAAATGCTTGATTGTAGGTGAACTATAAATTCCAGCAACTACAACTCCCAAATGACAAAATCAATCCCTGCACCCAACCCCACCAGTATTCAAATTTGGATGTATGGGGTATTTGTACCAAATTTGGCCCAATGAATGAAAATACATCCTGCATTTCGGATATTTACATTAAAATTCATAACAATAGCAAAATTAGTTACAAAGTAGCAATGAAAATAATTTTATAGTTGGCGGTCACCACAACATGGGGAACTGCATTAAGGCGTCACGGCATTAGGAAGGCTGAGAATCACTGGCCAAAGACCTTGTAAAACTACAACTCCCCAGAATCCATGGCATTTACTTATGGCGGTTCTAGTGGGATTAAACTGCATTAATTCTAAAGTGTGGGTGCACTCTTGGATTGCAAGGGAGCCATAGGAAAATGAATCATTCTACAGTGACACCAGTGACTTACCTGGATTGAACCGATTTCGCTTCACGATTTCCTGGGCAAACACACACACAGAGGAAGTCCCCAATCTCATCTGCAAACAGAAACAACCCTGACTTCTTAACCTGAAAACTTTTTGGACTGTACCAAGCGTGAATAATCCAAAGGGGAGGATCATGACCGATGGAATCTGTCTCTCCTTTTTCTTTGCTCTGGAATTTTTGGCTTGAAATCTTTCAAAACGCAGCTGGGAAAGAAAGGAGAACTTACTCTGGTTCATTCCTGGGCCACATCTGTTGCAAGACTCAACAATGACATCCTGTCTTTTGGAAAAGAGAACTTTTAGAAAGTTAACCGCAGAACAGTAGAAAGGAGGGCTGTTGTTCAATCCTGGAATTCCTTTGCGATCAACTAGGCTGGCATTGGTATGCCATTAATTTGGAAAGGAAGAAAGAAAGAGGGAGGATTTGCCCGGCTTGCAAAATACGCTTCAGTTTCTTTCACGTCGATAAACATGTGGTACATAGTTTCCCCATCTATTTTTATGCTCCGTCTTCATAAGGCAACAGGCCAGCAGCATCAGTAAAAGATAATAAACAGAGAGTGGCAAACATGCCAACAGCGTGGCCACAATGGGAGGACGCTCTGCACACAACCTGGATATTTAGAGTCTTTCAATCCTTGATTGTAGGATATCGATGAGAAAATACTAACAATTTCAAAAATTGCTTCATTTTCTCATAGCTACCTTCAAGAGGAAACTTACTGAAACATTACATTCCTATCTTAGAGATATTTCTGTACAAGTTCTGCAAAGTTAGTAGAAGGAGCACATTGGCACCTCACTTCTCTGGCTTGAGCCAAAAGCAGGAAAAGCAAAGGGAGGAAATTCACCCTTCTCTGGTTATAATTCACTTCTCTGGCTTGAGCCAAAAGCAGGAAAAGCAAAGGGAGGAAATTCACAGTTCTCTGGTTATAACTCACTTCTCTGGCTTGAGCCAGAAGTGGGAAAAGCAAAGGGGGAAAATTCACCCTTCTCTGGTTATACTTCACTTCTCTGGCTTGAGCCAGAAGCAGGAAAAGCAAAGGGGGAAAATTCACCCTTCTCTGGTTATGATTCACTTCTCTGGCTTGAGCCAGAAGCGGGAAAAGCAAAGGGGGAAAATTCACCCTTCTCTGGTTATGATTCACTTCTCTGGCTTGAGCCAGAAGCAGAAAAAACAAAGAGAAGAAATTCACCCTTCTCTGGTTTAAAACTGGCTTCTCTGGCTTCAGCCGAGGCCAGGGACCAGAAGCGGGGGAAAAGCTGAATAATTTTCGACTCACTGAGTTGGAAAAAAATTGTGAGACTAGCTTCAGAAGAGCAAGGGAACTTCCAATTTCCTAAAAAAAATTGCAAATTTGCTTCAAAAAGGTAATTTTTCTGAATTTATTCCGAATTATGAAGATTCCGACTGGACCTAACCATGTCTAGTGTATACATATACAGGAGCCGCTGGAACATATACTCTTGTTCCAGCAGGACTGCTGACTGAAAGGTCAGCAGTTCAAATCTGGTGAGTGGGGTGAGCTCCTGTCTGTCAGCTCCAGCTTCCTGTGCAGGGAAATTAGGGAAGCCTCTCATAAGGATGGTAAAACATCCAGGCGTCCCCTGGGCAATGTCTTTGCAGACGGCCCATTGTCTTACACCAGAAGCGGCTTGCAGTTTCTCAAGTTGCTACTGACATGAATATTATACAGCTAACTTCAGTTTATAAACTATAATAACCCATCCACTTTCAGGAGTTTTAGGGGTGCCTATATATATATATATATACACGTCTAAAACTCATGAAAGCGGATAGGTTACTATAGTTTATGAACTGAAGTTAGCTGTATTCCGATGACAGCAAATTGGAAGGGATAGCGAATACCCCGGAGGACAGGATCAGAATCCAAAATGACTTTAACAGATTGGCCAAAACTAACAAAATGAATCCCAACAGGCAAAAATGTACAATACTACACATAGGCAGAAAAAATGAAATGCGCAGATATAGGATGGATGACATCCTCTATCTAGGAGTCTTACTAGACCGCAAGCTGAACATGAGTCAACAATATTATGTGGCAGCTTAAAAAATCAATGTTATTCTAGGCTTTTGGGATTGAGGGAAGTCATAGTCCCACTCTCTTCTGCTTTGGTCAGACCTTCTAACCTGGAATAATCCTGTTTCTCATTCTGGGCAATGCTATTCAAGACGTATATTGATCATCTGGAACATGTCCAGAGAAGGGCAACCAAAATGATCAAAGGTTTGGAAGCCAAGCCTTGTAAAGAGCATCTTAGAAAGCTAAGTAAATTTAGCTTGGAGAAAATAATAACATAACAACAACAACAACAACAACATTTTATTTATATTCCGCCTTTCTCGTGGAAATTCAGAGTGTATTACAGTATAAACAGATACTGGCAAACATTCAATGGCTTGTTACAAAACAATGAGACACACAAACACAAACAAAAGCAAAGGCTTCTCCTTTCATTTCTGGCTTTTGGTGGCAGTGCTCATCTCTGGCTCTGGGGGAGATGCTGTTCTCCATTTCCAAGCTGAGGAACCTGTGTTGTCACCTCCTGGCCGTGTGACTGGCATGACTGCTTCGAGCGTCTTATGCCTTTCCCACAGAAATGGTGCCTATTTACCTACTCACATTTGCATGTTTTCAGACTTCTAGGTTGACAGGAGCTAGGGCTAACAGTGGGAGCTCACCCCCTCCCGCAGATTTGAACTGTCAACCTTTAGGCCAGCAGTTCAGTAGCACAAAGGTTTAATCCATTGCATCAACATGGAAAAGAAGTCTGAAAGGAGACTTGAGAAACTCATGTTGAAATATTTAAATGGCTGTCACATTGAGGAAGAAGGAAGTGTCTTTTCTGCTGCTCTGAAGACTAGGATACAATGGAGCAATAGATTGAAATGGCAGGAAAAAAGATTCCACCTAAACATTAGGAAGAACTTCCTAATGGCAAGAGGTATTCCACAGTGGAACATGCTGCTTTGGAGTCTATTGGGGTCGCCTTCTCTGGAGCTTTTTAAGCCAGTGTTTCTCAACCTTCCTAATGCCGCAACCCCTTAATATGGTTCCTCATGTTGTGGTGACCCCCAACCATAAAATTAATTTTGTTGCTATTTCATAACTGTAATTTTGCTACTCTTATGAATCATAATGTAAATATCTGATATGCAGGATGGACCAAATTTGACACAAATACCCAATACACCCAAATTTGAAAACTGGTAGGGTTGGGGGGGGGGGAGGATTTTGTCATTTGGGTACTGTAGTTGCTGGGATTTATAGTTAAACTACAATCCAAGAGCATTCTGAACTCCATCAACGATAAAATTGAACCAAACTTGGTATACAAAACTCCCATGACCAACAGAAAATACTGGAAGGGTTTACTGGGCATTGACCTTGAGTTTTGGAGTTTTAGTTCACCTACATCCAGAGAGCACCGTGGATTCAAACAATGATAGATCTGGACCAAACTTGGCAAAAATACTCAATATGCCCAAATGTGAACACCAGTGACGTTTGGGGACAATAGACATTGACATTTGGGAGTAGTTCCTGGGATTTATAGTTCACCTACAATCAAAGAGCATTCTGAGCCCCACTAACAATAGAATTGGGCCAAACATCCCACACTGAACCCCCATGATAAACAGAAAATACTGTATTTTCTGGTGGTCATTGGTGTCCTCTCTGACACCCTCTGACATCCCCCACCCAGGGGTCCCAACTCCCAGGTTGAGAAACACTGTTTTAAGCAGCGGTTGGATAGCCATCTGTCAGGAAGGCTTTGGTTGCGTATTATTTCATGACAGAAGGGGTTAGACTGGATGGTGCCTGGGGTCTCCTCCAATTCTAATAATCTATGATCTGGGGCTTGAAAATTAATTTGTGGAAGTGGGGCAGTCATGTTGCGTGATCAAAAAGCACTTTTTCCCCTTCCATGCCACATTGGCATGGACTGACCTTGAGGGAGCTGGGGGTGGTAACGGCCGACAGGGAGCTCTGGCGTGGGCTGGTCCATGAGGTCACGAAGAGTCGGAGATGACTGATCGAATGAACAACAACAAGCCACATTGGCTTGAGTCATGAATTGATTTTGGGGTGCCAAAGGCGAGCCCCCGACTTCTGCAAACACCATGCCAAATGGTGTTAGCTCCTTTCTTTTCAAGCCCCGCTCTGCTCCCCATCCATTATTAATCAAATTGCCCTGTGTGAATTGCTTAATAAAACATGAGCTTGTTTCCAGCAGGGAATCTCCCCAAGGCAACATGTTTATTTTATTTTTACTAATTTAAGCAGTTTTGTTCAGAGAAAGACCCCAGAGAGGGAAGATTTGGATCTGCACCAGAATCTAAATAGGTCTCGCTCTTTTTTCAGGTGAGATGATGGGACAGTCTGCAGGCAGGGCATTAATTCAGGTATGTCTGTATCATCCTTAGTGAAAGCAAAGGGAATGCACTTCGTGGCTAAGTTCCTTCTCAAAGGAAGAAAAAGAGGAAATGTCAACCATTTTCTTCCTAACATGATAAAATATTTGCAAATCGCAATTTTTCAAGCCAATTTCCAATTCATGGCTAAGTCTGCATAATATAGCACTTGGTTGTTTTGTACAGAAAACAGCATTGTCTGCACAGGAAATATTTCTAAACAGGAATATGATTTTCTTTATAGAAATAGTATCATGTATAACATTTCCTACACAGGTTATAATATTTCTGCATAGAAAATGGTGTTTCCTGTGCAGAAAAGGCTGTTCTGTGAGCAATACATATTAGGATTGTGCATTCGTGGTAAACCTTGACTTGTTTAGTGTCCCAGCTTTGGACGGACACCCCAATCCGGTTATTTTGGGGAAGCCCCCTGAAATTGGGAGGGCAGATATATTTTCGCCTTGGGGTGCCAAAAGATCCGTTTTCTGTCAACCCATTGGGGGGGGGGCTTCCCAAGCTCCCCTTCCCAACATTTTAGGCATTTTCGCTGTTTTACTCTAGAGGAGAGGTGCTCAGCTGCAGGCAGACACTTTAAGGAGTCTTCTTACCTGTTTCTTACTCCAGAGGAGGCGAGGCGCTCAGCTTGCTGCAGACAGGCACATGCACTCGGGGCCTGCATGCCACGTACACTTTCCAAGGCAAAGAGGAATTTTCTTACTCCAGAGGAGGCAAGGTGCTCGGCTGGCTGCAGGCAGGTATGTGCACTCTGGGCCTGCATGCCACACACACTTTCCAAGGCAAGGAGTTCTCTTACTCCAGAGGAGGCAAGGCACTCGGCTGGTGGCAGGCAGGCGTGTGCACTCTGGGCCTGCATGCCACATGCACTTTCCAAGGCAAGGAGGAATTCTCTTACTCCAGAGGAAGCAAGTCACTCGGCTGGCTGGAGGCAGGCGTGTGCACTCTGGGCCTGCATGCCACACACACTTTCTAGGATAAGGAGGAGTTTCTTTACTCCAGAGGAGGCAAGGGACTCAGTTGTTGGTAGGCAAGCACATGCACTCTGGTCCTGCATGCCACACACACTTTCCAGGGTAAGGAGGAGTTTCTTTACTCCAGAGGAGGCAAGGCACTCGGATGGTGGCAGGCAGGCGCAT